GGGACTCTTGCAGGCTCTTGCAGGACTTTTGCATTAGACCTCTGATGGTCCATCAAAGCCCATCCCCTCCCCCGCCAACCTTGAAAGGCAGGAAAAACCCTTTTCCCAGGCCCCTCACGGGAACTCTGCGCAGGCCCAGGAGATGTTGGGGGTTTGTGGCATGGCCCGGGACACCATCCATGGATATAATAACTCATAACTTCTTGGACTGTGGGGGCTTCCCTCCCCCACCCCCAATGGATCAAGGCCACCACTTCAACTGACACATTGGAGCTGCAACTCCCAAGTTCCATCTCTGGACCCCGTGGGCAGTGACTATAGACAGCTTTCCAGTCTCAGCTTTGCTTTCCCTTACTCTCCCTTACCTTTATCCTGTCTTTCCTTTCTCTCCCTTATGCATTTTCCCTAAAGGTTCTCTTTATGCCATATTGCTGTAGATGAGAGATAGAGATGATAACACCCAAAATGGCAACATACCTGTTTACCTTTGAAACAAAATTGTTCTAAAATAAACCTTACCTATATATGTTTTCAAACAGTAATTATTCAATGTCATTTCACTCTAATCCACCCCAAGGGATTTATTAATAAGAACCTGGGTTACCCCCCCCTTTCTGGGGTGGGTGGTAACAGACCCCTTGTAGCAGGATGTTCTACCTGGAAAAGAATCTGATGGGAGAATGCAAGCAATGCAAGCTCTCTGTGGGGAGTTACTGCTGGTGCCAAGGGATGGTTTAGTGTCAAATTGTACCAAACCCAACCTGGTTCCCCAACCTTCCAACACACATGTTGCTTTTGGAAGCAGAGTTTGACAGATCAGCTGCTCACTGGCCATGGAAGATGTGACTGGAGATCCATCAGTGGATAAGCATAAAAGCCCAGGGCCAGCTTTCCTAGAGCAGATTCTTCCACAGACTTTGTTGAAGTGTGTGCAGCTTCTGCTGTGAAGCAGGGACAGCTCTTGATGGTCACTGCTCGTGGGGTGAAAGAAAGAGGGAGATCTGCCTTGATTTATTTCTATCAGACCCCGCCGGGCCCTCCCCGCTTCCTGCCGGGATCGGACACCGCCGGCGGCCCTGGCCCTGCTGGGCTCCATCAGCCTGAGGAATTGCTCCCAAGGAGGGGCCGGGGGCTTCCTCTTGGCCTTCCTCTCCCTGGCGCTGGGGCTCGGCTTCTACCTGTGCCAGAAGGTGAGGGGGGTCCCAGGGGGTCGTGTGTCCCCCCAGAGCGTCTGTGCCCCCCCGGGGACCCCCCACCCCGGTGTCACCCCCTTTTCTCTCCCCACAGAGCTCCTGAGCCGGCAGTGGCTGCAGCCCCTCCCCTGGGCCTCGGGCCCAGCCTGGACTCCCCCTGTCCCCATGAGAATTTTGGGGGGGTTGTGTGTCCCCCCCTCCCCTGCTGTCACTCTGCCTCCGCCCGGCTGCTCCCAGTGATCCCAGTAAAGCTTCCTAGTTCTCCCCAGTCCTGGTTATTCGGGGGAAGTTGGGGGGGAGGCGTGGGGTGACGCGGATGGAGGAGACGAGTTTGGGGGGGACAGAACCGGCCCCGGGATGGATCGGGAATGGGGACCCCTCTCGGTCTCCCCATGTCAACCAGCTCTGGGGGAGCTTTGGGAGGGCACGTGCCCCTCAGTGGGCACCCAGCTCACCCCGAAAGCTGCTGGGACCCTGCCAAAACATCCCCACAGCCCCTCAAAGACCCCTAAACACACTCAAAGCCCAAGTAGGACCCCCCCCAACCCCTTTTTTGGGGGGACTTCTCTGGGTACTGGTGGTGCTGGGAGCCCTCCCGGCTGCGGGTGAGGAGTTCTCGGGTGAGTGGGGAGTTGGAACGGGGTAGTCAGAAGGGAAAAGGGGGGTCAGAAGGGATAAAAGGGGTGGTGGGACACCAAACTGAGTGGGAGGGGAGTGGGACCCCCCTAAAGTAGAGGGGGAGAGGCACTGAGGTTTGGGGGATGATGGGAGAGGGGTGGGAGAGGTCAGAAGAGTGGGGAAAGGGGAGGGTGGGACCCTGAAACTGAGCATGAGGGGGGCTGGGGAGTGGGGGGATGATGTGGAAGGGGTGGCAGAGGGGGAAAAAATTGGGGTTGGGACCCCCAGAGTGACCCTGGTGGGGGCTGTGGATTAAGTGGACTATGGAAAACAGACAGAACAGGGAGACAGGTGGAAAAGGGAGAGGGGTCTGGAGGGTCTGATGGTCCCATGGGGGTCTTTGGGCGCAGAGGGGCTGGGAAAGGGGGGTGGCCCTCCTGAGCTCCCAACTTACTGTGGGGTGCTGGGGGCTGCTGGATCCAATCTCAGCCTTGGGTTATGCCAAAAGTTTCTATTTAGAGGAACTACGGAGGTGTGACTGAACCACTTTTGTCCCCCAGGTTTAATGACGGCAAATCAGATCTAGTGATAGAAATGAATTATTTAGCGTTACAAATGATCAGACAAAATATCCTCATCAAAATCATTTACTGCACACTGCATACACTAAAATTACCAGAAGTATAGGATAAGATAGGACAGTGCTCTACACTAAAGCAATTGTTCATGCCAGTCTACTAACGCTGGCACAAAAGCAATAATTCTTAATTAGAGATGGATGGAACTCCCCCAGACCAACACTCGTGGGGAGATCTCTGTTCTCAACCTCCAAGAGTGACCTTGGGGGGGTCCCCAGCCAAGGCAGGAATCTCCACACATGCGCCAAAAAGAGTTCTGTGGAAGAAGCTGCCCCTTTGAAAGGGGACTGGCTCTTTCTGATGGAAAGGGATGGACTGACAGTCACTGGACTCCAGGGGTTGCCTCACCATTGGGGGGTTCATTTGGGGTGGAAGCAGCGGCCGAAGCTCTTCTGGCAGTCGGGGCACTGGTAGGGCTTCCCTTACTGGTGGGTCTGTTGGTGTGAGGTCAAGTTAGAGCTCTGGGTGAAGCTCTTCCCACACTCCCCACACTTCTAGGGCCTCTCCCAGGTGTGGATGCGCCGGTGGGTGATAAGGTTGGAGTTGTGCTTGAAGCCCTTCCCGCAGTCGGTGCAGCGGAAGGGCCTCTCATCAGTGTGTGTCCGCTCATGCATGAGGAGGTTGGAGCTGGTCTGAAACCTCTTCCCACATTCCCCACACTTGTAGGGTCGTTCCCCAGTGTGGATACGCTGGTGTTGGATCAAGTTGGAGCTCTGCCTGAAGCTCTTCCCACATTCCCCACACGTGTAGGGCTGTTCCCCAGTGTGGATGTGCTGGTGTCGGATCAGGCTGGAGCTGTCACTGAAGTTCTTCCCACATTCCCCACAAGTGTAGGGCCGTTCCCCAGTGTGGATGTGCTGGTGTCGGATCAGGTAGGAGCTGTTCCTGAAGCTCTTCCCACATTCCCTACACGTGTAGGGTCGTTCCCCAGTGTGGATGTGCTGGTGGGTGAGGAGTTGGGTGCTCTTCCTAAAGCTCTTCCCACATTCCAGGCACCTGAAGGGCTTCTCCCTGCTGGGAGGCTGCTCAGGGACCACCAGCTCAGAGCTCTGGTTCAAGGTCCAGCCTCCTTCCCAGCACAGGCTGGGTCTTTCCTCCTCAGAGCACCCTGGGTTGGCTTTGGAGCCCCTCCTGTGGGGGGATCTCCGGCCCTTTTCCTCCCCGCTGCCTTCCTGCGCCGGGGAGCCCTTCAAAACGGCCTCTCCCACCAGGGTCTCACGGGGGGATTTGTCCTCCGGGCTCTCCGTCCTCAGCTCGGGGCCTGGGGCAGGAAGCAAGAAGGACAGGGAGGGGATTTGCCTCCGGCCCACAGGGAAGGCCAAGGACATCCCCCCAACTCCGGCCCCGGCAGGACGGCGGCGGCAGCGGGGTTGTCCTGCAGCCGGGGCCATGCTCGGCTGACAGAGCCAGCACAACACCCGCCCAAAGGGCCACTGACTTCCTCCTCACCTGCCTGGGGGGCCCAAGGCATCTTCCTCTTCCTCGCAGCCTCCTCCTCCAT